AGAGTGTAAAGTAAAATGGAACCCTTGGGACAATACCAGAAACCTGAGAAATGGATTTTGATTTAATTTATTTTCTAAAGTCTATGGGACCAAAATATAAGTTTTGGGTTTGTTTCTTTTTGTTTGGGTGGGTTTTTTGTTTGTTTGTTTTTGTGGGTTTTTATTGTAATTCAAATGCTAAATGTGTTGTGGTATTTACGGCTTCTTATTGTGTAAATAATAAAAGGATTTCAGGATAAAAGGACAAATGGTGTAACGGACCCAGGAAGGAATCTGCCAAACTAATTTTAAAATATTAATAGTTAAATCAGTGTTTGCTGACACTGTGTGAGTGAACAGAGCTCAACAGCATTGCAGGAATGAGAAAAATTAGCAACAAGAAAAGGGTTATGGGCAATGAGTAAATTTGATTAAGAGATAATCATCGAATCCCAGAATGGTTTGGGTTGGAAGGGACTTCCAAGCCCAACTCATTCCACCCCCTGCCACAGGCAGGGACACCTTCCACTAGCCCAGGTTGCTCCAAGCCCCGTCCAACCTGGCCTTGGACACTTCCAGGGATGGGGCAGCCACAGCTTCTCTGGGCAGCCTGTGCCAGGGCCTCCCCACCCTCACAGGGAAGGATTTCTTCCATGAGTAAAGAATTCCTTCCATTAATATTAAGCACTACCTCTGGTCCTGTTCATGGGAAGTCTCATCTAAACTGACGAAGATCAAAACTCAGCACTGCATCTTTACAGATTTTTGTTACAAATTCTTTTGCAAATTTAGCTGAGCAGAGAAAAACCTCTTCCAGTCCACTCTCTTCAACTTAGTTTCAAAAATCCACCAGTGCAGCCTTCTCAATAGCATTGGAAAGGTGAGTTAGGAGCACATGGTGTATCACATGACAGAGTAATTCCATATTTCTTGTCTGTCTTGGTCTGAAAAATTAGAGGTACACTGTGAGAGGAGGAATGTTTTTTCTTGTTGGGTGTCCTCATTCTCTATTGTATCACAGCCCCTCATGCAGACAAAAAACCAAAGCACACAATCCCTCAGTGGCTGGGAATGGATCAGAGAGCTCATAAAACTCATAAAACTCCAGAGAGAGCTAAAACTCCAACTGCTTGGGGGAAATAAAGTGACAAGTATAGGGACTGCAGACGGGCTGCTGGTGACAATGGGAGGCAACTTTCCCAACAGCAGCAGTAAATACATTGTGCTACACTTAGAGGAGACATTTCTCTGGGACTTATTTTACAGTTCCCAGTTGCACATTACATGATATGTGCTGTTGATGAATCTATGAATATGTAACAACAGCAAAACAGAAAATCAGTAATTTCCTAAAGGTATGAAAAGACACCTCTAAGGTTTTACAGCATCGCCTTTGGACAGGAGAATGGCAAAGTTCTGGTGTCCTTCAAACACGTGGAGTCCTCTAGATCCACATACATCTCTTCAGCATTTTGACTTAATCATATGTTATTAATTGCTTGTTTCCAGAGGAAGAATTCCCTTAATTTCTGTTCAAGATTAAAATGTCCACCTCTGAGAAATTATTGGTGTGATTTCGATGAGAAAAGACCATGAATTGGGTTAGCAAATTAGGTCACTTGTCATGGTGACCACTGAGATAAGGGAGAATGTTCTAGAATCTAGATAAGCTTCATCACCTGAAGTTCTGCTGTGTGATAAAACTTCTGTACTTGGTTTAATTTTGGACAGTTTTGGACCATTCAAACCTGATTCGGACTTTACCTCTGTTGCTTGGCAGCAATGGTATCTGACAGGTTTGGGCAGCCCTGTCTGGGCACATCAGCCCCCAAATCTGCAGTTCAGTTCTTCTACCAACAACAGAGTCGGAGACCTTCTTGTTCAGTCAACTTCTTGGGATTACAAGTTGGGGGCAAGGGACTGTATTAGTTAATATGCACATTTGGGGGATTCACAGGGTGTATTTTCTCACATAGATTATAATGATAAATGTAGAAATATTGTCAGAAATACCTATGTTGAATCTTAATTAGAATCTGTGCACCCTGACTGCAGCCTGCAATGTTTCTGTGTTTGATACATTGATTTTTAAGTGTGGTCAGTTCAAAACAGTTTTGCAGCCCACAGGAGAGTTCATTAAGAGCCTTGTGCAATATGGTACGTGTCCATTATTCTCCTTTTCTAAGTTACTATGTCCCCTTACAATAACTTTACCAAATGAGTCACTTAAGAGTACATTTTAAGGATGTTTTCAGTTTAATTATCACTGTTGAAAGACGTATCTCCATTAGCTTTGTGAATACATGGCAAAGAAAACTTAATCATTGACCGATTCATGTTTTATGGAAGTGCTTCTATATCCAGCTCATTGCATTCAGATTAGTTGTCCTCTTAAAAGGGCAGAGAGGTAAAATCCTTAAAACTTGCTTAGGAATCCCAAGGCAGAGCTGCTTTGTTCCCATGAACTGGGGTTCCACTATCAAAGAATTCATCATTAATAACTTCCCAACTTGCAGCTGCGCCCTTTCTCCTGCGTTTCCCACTCCTCTCACTCCTCCTGCTCCGGGGATGTGTTTTCTCTTTCCAGGGCTCAGCGAGGTTGTTCTGTGCCCAGCAATGCAGCACTTCCCTGGCTGGCACAGACCGAGGGATGTGTTTTCCTTTGAGAGCTGCGTTGTTGTGCAGTTGGGTGCATTTCCCTGCCATTGTGTGCTCCTCCACCAAAGAAAAACAGAGCCCTTCTATCCCTGAGCACAAAGAACAAACTGTTGTTGGGGGGAGGAATATCTACAAACCTGTAAATCTTTCTCCTCCTGTTTATTCTTCATGTCATTCAAGCCCATTTAGCAAAGGACCAATTAACTCCAGACTCATGGCACATTCTGAGGGGCCAGATTTCTCCTATCAGAGATGACACAGCCAAATTTCCAAATAATTTCTAGCTGAATGCAGCATTTGGTTTTCCTTGCTCTTTAGTTCACAGTTCCCAACCTGTTACTCCAGCTATCAAACAAATTGATGTTTTGCCTAATTTTCTCCCCATTTTCTCATCAGCAATATTGTGAAATACAGGGAAAATGTGTACCAAATCCAAATCATTGTGCATCCAGTTTTTTATTATTGTGACTAAAACTGTTTAAGGGTATTTGTCCTTCAGTAATTATTCTGCTAACTGTACGTGGCACATCACTGCATATGGAAATATACAGGAAGCAGGAGTTTTACAGATTACTCTCCTGTGGTAAAAACATGCTGCAAAGGTAACAATTTGTAAAGTAACTCTAATCAGTGAAGAAAGCACACTTTTGACTATGATATGGTATCCCCAAAGTGGTGGTGATGGGGAATTCTGATATTAATTGTTACATCTGAATTATTTCACCATAATATAGTGTTGTAATGAACATATCTACTGTATGTGGTTGCATTTTGTATCTCGAAGTTTATAACTTGGAATTTAGGAGAACTCAGAGCAGTGATTCAATGACCAATAAAAATTTGCTTTTATATCGACAGTTTGAAATGAAATTGTGTTAATAGCTCTATTTTGATATGCCATTCTGGTGCCTGAATTGAACAAACCTTCTATTTTGTGTTAGGTGGCAGGTCTGCAAAGAAACTGTGTATTAACCCTGATTATACATTGCTAGGACTAGGGACTGCATAGGCTTGTGTTCTTACAAAAATAACATATATACAAGAAGTGAGTTAAAAACCCCCACCATTCAGATGAGCCCTAAAAGGTCAGGTTGTGAAACTGCAACATCTTTTGATTTTTTTTTTGGTGATTCTTCTGCTTCCCTTCTGAGTTCTTTGTTTTCACAGTCTTAGGTGGGAGTTTTGCCCCAGAACTATCAATGGGCACAAGATAAACCTGTATCATCTACTCCTTGTAACGTTTGCTGCTCTCAACAGGAGTCAGTGAAATGTTTTCTCTGCTGATGCCTCTCTGATCCTCATTAAAGGGGGGAGATCCTGTGATCTGGAAGTAGGAAAGAATCTGGTGTGTCCCAGACAATTTGCAATATCATCAGTAACGCTGGGCCATGTTTATTAACCAGTGAAAAACAACATTAAAATTAGATTTTTTTTTTTTATGGGTCACAAATGAGTAAAGCAGCAGGAACAGAATGACTCTAAAAACACAGAGAGATATTTACCACTCAAATGTCTGAAGAAATTAGCAGTGATAAAAAGGAAATACCATGAAGGGAACGCAAAATGGCTCTAAAAAACAAGTGAGTAGTCTTTAAATTTGCCTCTTTAAACTTGCCTGGATGTTTTTCTGGATTTCTGAGCTCGGGCCTTTTTGGTGGGGGAGGAAAGAATAATGTAAATGCCAAAAAAGAGTTGGACAAAAAGTAAGCTTTGTATCCTATCTATGAGAATCAGACGGTGTGTGTCATGCTAGTTTTTACAGTCATAGTCTACAGTCTCCCACTGATTAAAATGCAATTTGACAGTAACACAATATAGAGGTTTAACTGACAGCACACACAGCACATTTGCGAGTCATAACGCCACAGTTTAATGACTGACGCATGTGGGAAGCTAATTCGCATTTTTTTTTTCTTGAATGGGATAAATGAGCATCCAGTTAATACCAATCACGAATTCAAGCCATGTGACAAAACTGATGCTACATACCCTGTTCTTGTTTTGCATATTCTGCAAATTGAGCTGCAGGAAAAGAGCCAGTTTGTACACATATCCGGAGAGAAAGTTCATTCTGCTTTCTGACACATCCACCAATTGCAGCTGAATGTATCCAGCTTGCTGCTGTTGTGTTCACAAACTAATTACCCTTTCTCTGTTAAATAGCCTAAGAATTACAAATTGTATGCCTGTTTTGAGAAAAAGTACAGGTTGAACAAGCAGACGTAGTATAAATAAAATATTTATATAAAAATAGTCTCTTACAAAATATACTCTCTTATCCTATGGTTGATTTTTCCAAAAGATGGAAGTTTGTCTGGATTTTCTTAATTTTAGACATATTCCAAACAGGATTTTATTAATGCTTCTTTCTTTAATCGAAGAAAAAAAAAATAACCACAAAGCCTGGTAAAGATTTGTAACCCCTACCACTCGACTTTTGTTCCAGACAACTAGCAGCAAACAGGAGAAAACGAACAAACAAACAAAAACCCCAAAAACAACAGTGTTTGTGTATGTACATATATATAAAGATGCCAGCTTTTGTACTTAAACATCTAGTACTGTAGAACATATCCTGCAAGTCCAACTAATAGAAATATCCTAGTTAAGAATAATATGTACAGCTCCAGTTCTTTCCTTGCTGTTCCTACAAAATTATTCCACAAAGAAAGCCAGCTATCTACTTTAATTGCAGAATAGTTCCCCAAAGGTTGGTAGAGTCCTTTTTTAATTAAATAAATTAATATTAGTTTTATCTGAATAAATTGTTAAATATTGCTATTATTATGCCCGAGTGTCCCAAATCCCTGTGCTAAAATCTGCAGCACACACACACACGAAAAAGGCAGGTAAAGCAGTGTTTACAGAAACCTTCAGCAGTTCTACTCGCTGTGGCAAGGGGGATGAAGGGGAAAGATGGGCAAGACCAGCAGAAGCTTTTCACGAGTGTGGAAGCCAAAACCTGTGTCATCCACAGGCTCACACGGGCCGTTCACGGTGGGGCTCTGTCCATCCCATCCTGTGCAAAGCCCTTTTGGGGGGATTTCTCCCCTATCCCTCCCTGCTCCTTATATTTGACCATCTCTTTTCCAAACCAGGAGTCAGTTGCCACCCTCAGAGATGTCTCCCTGACTGGTGTGTCTCCACAATGCTTCTTCCTTTAGAGGTGCAGGTTAACCGAGATGATCTTTTTCTCTCTCTTTTATGTGTCAGGTGGCTCAGGGTGGGGTTTGTTTGTTTTTCTTTCTTGGCTGACTTTATGAGTCTGAAATGTGTATCCACATAAGCGATGAAACGTGAGAAGAAACGAGGGGCCTCCGTTCACCAGCAGTTCTTCTGGGAGAGCAGGTCTGCCCTACAGTCTCGTGTAGGTCCGCTGAGTGCATGTGCAAAGGTATCCGTGGCCAGGGCCGTGCCCACGTGCTCACTTACAGGTATAGACCTCTGTTCTCTCGCTGCACGTGTTGCACTTGACGTAGCAGCACCAGTGGAACTTGCAGTTGCACTGCCACACCCGCGAGTACTGGTGGGTGTTGTACCCCCGGCCGCAGCACATCAGGTCGCAGCCGTTGGACTGCTGGGCTGTCTTGTTGCACATCCTGCCCTGTGTGCCCACGCTGCCAGTGACAGGGTCTTCTTCACAATAGTTGGGGGATTTCTCTATGTACACCAAGTCTGTATCCATGGGTTTGCGGTAGGAAAGGGGCTTCTTGATTTTGAGGAAGGTCGGGCGCTTGTTGCGACTCGCCCGCACGGGCTCCACCTGAACGGCCTCGTTGTACTTGTCCTTCAGGATGTAGCCCAGCTCCCGGAATTTGGGCAGGGTTGTCCAGCATGTTTTAGTGGTACAGGATCCTGAGACCCCGTGGCACTTGCACTCTAACTTCATGTTTTCTTCCAGAATCTGTGTTAGAAGAACAAAGAACGATGTGTTAACAAAAGCGGGGGGATTTGATGGATACTGGATGACAAGCAGGGATGGGTTTGTTCTCCAGTAGGAGCTGCCACCAGACACAGGTCACATTCCCACCAAAGCTGTGGGTTTTGCTTGCCTGGACACACTATTGTCCCAGGTAGCAAATACTCACCAGTATCAACCAAGTTCTGCCTGTGAAGCTCATTCCCCGTTTGCACTTTGAATTAACCAGGGAGGATAACTTTGCCTAATTTCATGGTCCAGGTCCCAAAGGCAAGATGGGACCCTCCTTAACCACAGCTTTTCTTTGATATGACTGTACAGTGCTTCAGATTTATCTGTTCTTGCAATGTTTGGCATATGGCAGTGAAATTAGGAGCTGGCAGAAAATCACACCTTCACATGAACTGCCACGTGCAGAATTCTTTCAGAGTGCAACAATAGGTGCCAGAACCTGACTTTTGTAAACAGAGGTTCTGCATCTCAGTTCTTGCACCTCAAAATGACAAAGGCTGGTGCAAAAGATGAACAAGCAGATACTTTATCAATGTTTGTCCTCCTGTAGGTCTCACATTAATCAACATATGGAGCAGATTATTATTTAGCAATATAGGCCTCATTTGTTCTAAATGGTGCAAATTAATGCTCCAGTTTTGAAAGCTAAGCATTATTTTGATATACCCACGGTCAAACACACTTTCTGGAGGGTTTGAAGTATTTTTGCCTCCTGTCACATGGATAACAGAGCAAACAAATGTCTCAGCTACTTTTCAAGAAAACATGTTCTGTCTTAGAGCATAAAGGGTAAGAGTAAAGGAATCGGTTTCATGTTTTGTCATCAATTCTTGTTAAAAAATGTCTACCTCTTTAATGCTGTAAAAGTATCTTAAACACCTCAGCTTCATGGCTTGCTCCACCCTGTCTCATGCTCCCTTCTTTGTAGGGGTCTCTCATGGTTATGCCTGAGTTGTCACTACTTTCCTTTTGAAGATAACAAGCTTCATCTTCCACCTTCACATCCCTTGAAACTCTGTCCCTGTATCTTCTCCCTCCTGCTGTTTTACCAGCCCAGGCTTTGCCAAATAAAGCTGGAGACCAGCTTAGTCCCTGCTCTGTGTCCTGAGCCCCACAACTGACCTCATTCAGCAGCAACATCGGGTTAACACCAGCAAACATACCTGATTCCAGCAATTAATTTCCCACTGGTCTGTACTTGAAAGAGACCATAATAATTTTGATGATGAAATTCTGCCTAACCTGGCAGAGACCAGCAGTGGAAAGCCCAGCCAGAGGGATTATCAGGGTTCAGGGAGTGGCCACATAATTTTTCCCCTGAGACAACCCAGCTGATCCTTGCAGTTCCAAACCTGGGCAGCCTGGAAGGCTGGAGGGAGGTCAGTGATATTGAAATTTGAATTAACCCTTCTTTTATAGCTGGAGAACTCACTGTACAGACTCAAACACCAGCCTTTTTCAGCAGAAAACAGGTGAGCCTTCACTGAGGAAGTTGATTCTTCTCATACCTTTTGGTCTTGAGGCTGTTCCTGTGTCACCTGGGCACAGAAACTGCTCTTGCCTGACCTTGGGATGATTTGTAGCTGCTTCTTTGCTCCCTGCTCTTCCTCTGCCCATTTTTGATGAACATGGGGATTTTAAGGTATTAAAACAACAGGCTGAGAGAGTTGGGGCTGTTCAGCCTGGAGAGGAGAAGGCTCCAGGGAGACCTCATGGCAGCTTTCCAATACCCAAAGGGGGAGAGGAAATTTTTACAGGGGCATGTAGTGATAGGACAGAGAGGAGTGGCTTTAAACTGAAAGAGTATGTTTGGGTGGGACATTGGGAAGAAATTCTCCCCTGTGAGGGTGGAGATGCCCTGGCACAGGTTGCCCAGAGAAGCTGTGGCTGCCCCATCTCTGGAAGTGTCCAAGGCCAGGTTGGACGGGGCTTGGAGCAACCTGGGCTAGTGGAAGGTGTCCCTGCCTGTGGCAGGGGGTGGAATGAGGTGACCTTTAAGATCTCTTCCAACCCAAACCATTCTGTGATTCTATGATTTTCTGGTTCTATGAAGTCACTTTGTTTTCACTTTAGTCTATGAGCAAATTGTCCCCACATGTGGTCTGAAAGCAGGATTCAAAACCCTAGACAGCATGGGTCCAATACCTTGATAGTTGGGAACTTAGTATATGCAACTGGCTTTAAATTAATTTCTCATGCAAACTATCTAATGACTGCCCTAAAACTGAGATGTGAGAAACTTTTATATTCAGATCTACATCTTAACTTGCAGTTCTGCTCAAGCTTTGGCTTTATCTTGTTATCTTGAGTTTCTCTCTCAGCCACTGCATACTTCTTTTTATTGCTCACTCATTCATAAGGTAGTGCACTTCGAAGATAGATGAGGAGATCTATGAGGAAAAGGAGTTAGAGCACAGAAACCGGAAAAATAACATAAATTCTTTTAGCCTCATTTGTACCTTTTTAAAAGTTTGGGGGTTTTTTTGGTTTTTGTTTTTTTTTTTTAATTTGAAACTAGCCAGGGTACATTTCTCAGCCCTAATTCAATCACTGTTCTTGTAGAATTGCCTGGCCCTATATCCTGGTACGATGTTCAAACTTGCAACAAAATATTTCTAACTCGCCTGCCATGGGGATCCGCCAAACTGACTTGAACCATTAATACAGAATACATCATGTGTCATCTATCCAGGCAGGGCTTTTTTCCTCAAGTGTAGTTAAGTAGCCTAAATTGCCTTTTGGTTTATTTCATTAACATCCCATTTTCAGCCAGCAGCCTCGGTGGGGACGAGCAGCTCCACGGAAAGAGCTGAGCCAGCGGCTGGAGCGGCTCCGGGCGCGCTCGTCTCACGTGCTGGTCTCTGCTCCGGGACACGATGCCAAACACAACCAGCCGCTGCTTTCCAGGGCTCACTGAGGCTGGGCACGGGCAGTCTGGAGAAAAAGATCTGCTTTTGTCTGAACGGGAGGAGTTTGTGCAGCGCCCGTTGAGCCCAAGTGCCAGGGGTCCTTCCCAGAGGTCCAGAAATGCTTGGAGGGGGATGGGAAGGGGCAGAGGGACGAGAAGGAGTTTTGTCTTTTAACTCTGTGCTACATTTATTGTTCAGTTTTTCGTTTATGATTTTCATATTTTCCTAAAATTTACTGGCTGCACTTGTGGGAGATGCACTTCCAATATGCTGTGCTAGAATCTCTCCAACACACCTGCCCCATTTAGGTCCCCTGCACTCTGCAATTGAGTTTCCCTTCCAGATTTGCCTCCTACCTTCGGCTCACAACCCCTTTTGTTGGTTCTGTTCTTGCACACATACCCTCCTCACTGGTGCTGCCTTTCAACACCATGGTTTGCAAATTCAACCAGAGACGAATTGACTCTCCAGCCTTCAGAAAACAGGCTACATGGAACTTGAACTGTCTGTCCTCAGTAAAAGCAAAGGCCTGCAATGGATAGTTTTGTTGTACTGTGATATCAGGTGCTTGGGCTATTTGTTTTGCAATAAAATATGTGGATGGTGGCATTTTAATACTGTTCCATTACTCCAGTATCCTCTGATAAATCGATGCCTTTATAAATTCAGGAAGAGAGTTGCAAAGAAAAAGGAGAAAATAAAATAGGGGATTCTCTGGGTAGGGCCAGCAAGCCTTGGTCTATCCCTTGGTTTCTGTGAGCCAAAAGCAGTGCCCTACCCCTTAAAAACTTGGTCTGTGGTAAAACCAGAAAGTGTTCTTTACCTTTCAAGATCAGGATTGGTTTTTTTGAAGGAATTATCCAGCAGCTCATACTTTTTACGTTAGGTTAAAACTTTATATACATTACAGACTGACTTTTCCTAAAATGTAAGAGCCTGAAGGGCACAAAATTTAAATCCTAGATCCTCTGTTTCTTACCAAATGACCATATCCAGCTCCATCAGTAAATCTGTATGCACCAGTGAATGCTCTGAACTGGATTAAATGTGAACAAAGAGCTGGAGTTCTTTTAGCTTTGTCCACTTTTTCTTTGAGCTCCTACAGTAAACTGTCAGTACTTGTTTCTCTCTCTCCCCCCCTTGCCATTAGCCTCTGGGAAATAGTTTGTGTGAAGAGAACTCTGGCTCTCTCTCCTGATGTTATCTTCAGATGCAGTACCTTTGGGCACTGCCATTAGGAGCTTAACGTGTTTTGTCTTCACCTTCAGTTTTGCAGGGAATGTGCAGGGTTGGTCATGTGAGGGTGGCAAACTGAGGCTCTGGAAAATGCTGCATCCCAGGAGCTGCATGGGCTGGGTCCAGCACGGTGGTCCTGCCCTGGGCAGGGTGCTGGGCCCATGGCTGGACTGGCTCAGTGACACCAGCAGAAATTGCTGCCTGGTGTGACCTGGGGCTGGAGTGGCTTTGGCTCACAAGGGAATTGCTGCAGGAATTGTGCCCTCTGGGTGGTGGGAAAGGAGCTGAGGGAGCTCAGGGGGCAGGCACTGATCTCTGCTCTGGGGGGACCAGGGACAGCAGCCAGGGAATGGCTGGAGCTGTGTCAGGGCAGGCTCAGGTTGGATCTCAGCAAAAGGTTCTTCCCCCAGAGGCTGGTTGGGCACTGCCCAGGCTCCCCAGGGCAGTGGGCACAGCCCCAAGGCTGCCAGAGCTCCAGGAGGGTTTGGCTGATCCTCTGGGGCACAGGGGGTGACTATTGGGGATGGGCCTGTGCAGGGCCAGGGTTGGACTGGATGATCCTTGTGGGTCTCTTCCAACTCAGCATATTCTGGGATTCTGTGTCCCTCCTGCAGTGGGTTTTCCCAGCTCAGTGTTTCTGTTCCCTGAGTTACTCAGGTGTATGTCCTGCCCTGGCTTTCCAGCATCCAAAGTCAGCTGCCTTTCCAAATGCATCTGCCAGGGCAGCCTGGGCCCCTCATGCCCAGTGGGGTCAGGTTTTGCACAACCCTGGGTTTGGTCACCAGGACTCCCCAGCCCTCGCTGCCAAAGCTGTCCTGAAGGACACAC